TTGACTGGATCGTCCCGGCGATCATGCGATCGTCCAGGATGATTATGATCGTCATCAATTAATCTTAATTACTCCCTTGATTTCCTGATCAATTAAGGCATAATTTGGTAATTTCGTCCAGGCCGATCCTTGGATCGTCCTGGAATTTAAAAATACACTATACCTTAATTGTCTATGGCGGCTACTTCTTTCTGTTTTGAGCTTATCGTCCTGACCGATACACGTATCGTCAAGGCCGATATTGTTAATGATGGCGCCTTAATTAAGAATCCTGATTAGAGTCTCTGTTTTGAACTAGATCGTCCAGGACGATCAAGAGATCGGCCTGGCGATGTGGCAAAATAGAGTATTCTAAAATCTCTCAAGTGGTGTGTGTGTAGGATGTAGGGTTACTAAGTATCAGTCTTTTGAATCTTACAAATTGACTCAAGAAGAGAAAAAAAAGATTACAGACTGACTCAACCCTATGCTACCCACTTCTGTATTTGCATCGTTTGTTCGTCCAATCTTCGATTCCTGAAATGTTAGAAAAAATAGGCAGTCCAAGATAATCAGTAGGGTTTGCCAATTATCAAAATATAAGCCATGAAATAAATAGATTTGCAACATCCTTAACATCTAAATGACTATCTAAGAATAGAGATATTGAATGTATAACAGATTGTTATCAGGTTTAAAAGGATTGACATATGAATTTATGGAGGGAGTTGACACTTTTTTTGAAGTCGAATGTCAATTACCTTCATTTAAGTCTGATGGAATATTTATATGTCTATGCTTAAAGTACAAAAATTAAGCATTCCTTATGCTCGATGATGTAAAGGTTGATTTATATCGTAGGAGATTTATTCCATGATATTGGATTTGGACCTCACATGGCGAGTATGAGCTATATATAGATACTCATGACAGTCCATCCATAGCTTTTAAAATAGTTGATGAAGATCAAATGAGTACATTATTTAAAGAACTTATTTTTTATGCAGTATGTCCTAATTTAATGGCCAGCATGGAAGAGACACCAAAACCAAAAACCAAAAAAATCTTTAAATTACTACATGCTCTTTAAAAAAAAAATTGGATGGTTGCACAACTTATTAAAAATTATCGATTATTATTAGAATGCTAAGTATCAAAATTGAATATAATATTTCTTGTGAATGCTTTAATAACTTCAATGTTCTTCTAAAAGAAACAAATCTAATTGATAATTTAATCCCCATAGATTTGTTTCAAATAAAGAAATTCGTATCTAAGTTGGATCTCACTGCTATGAAAATTGATTGATGTATAAATAATTGTATGTTATACTACAAGGAATATGTGACAAAAAATTATTGTCGCACCTACAATGCACTTCAGTTCAAACCCAACTCAGGAAAATAACATCATCAAAAGAAAGATATTCAATATTCTCATTTATTTTATTTACTGATCATTCCAAAAGTTTAGTGACTCTATGCATCAATGAGTTTAGCAGGTCATATAAGATGATATAAGGAGAAATTAGCACACAGTGGTGTTCTTTCTCATCCATTAGATGCTAAAGCGTGGAAATATTTTAATCGAACACATACTTTATTTGCTGCTATAAGAGATCATCTTTAGGATCGACTTAATATTCTGAGTATCACAAGTGGTCAGATATTTTTGGAGGAAGGCAGAGGGGGAGGGTTTATGTCTTAGGCTCATAGGGATATGCTTATGAGGGTAATATATCTACTTCAACATTTTATGATGTTAGTGGAGCTGAAGAAATCATTAGTCAGAGGGTTGCTGTCCTGATAAGAGAGATAGAGGAGATGAGAAAGATTTAAGTTGAGATACAGGTGGAGCTGCGATCATATCGAGCTAAAAATTAGAAAAAAAAAAAAAAAGGAGCAAGAACCTAGACCTAAATCACATGGCAGTGAGGAGATTAGTTATTGTTACTTGTTTGAAGAACTAATTAGTGTATTTTGAATATATGCATGTGAAAGAACTTGTTATATGCTTTAAACATTGTTCAACTAGTTAAACTTTATATATTTTATGTTTTGAACCATTAGAGTATCTGTTGATTTTGGATGTTAGTGTATTTCATATATTATATTTTGAACTATCTGAGTATATGATTAAAAGTATTTATTTTGTGTTTTGAAATTCTTGCAGGTAATTATGGAAATCTATTTGGATAGAGGGGGCTATTAATTTTTTTACAAATGCTATAAGTTTCAAGCAGCTAACCAATGATTTAGCCGCCGAAAACTTTGATACCAGACGGAGGCAATTTTATCACTAGTTATTTAATGATGCCACCAATAATAACCGGCGGCTAGCCGACAATTTGGCTGTAATAAACACCGACGATTTTGACTGCATGTACGACCATTAGTAATGACCGGGGTTTGGCGACAAATTAATTGCAGTTTTGAATCTGGTGATTTCCTGCTATCATAGTCACTAAAAAATTGCCAAAAAAATATTACTATTAAAAATTTATCATTGGTTATCATTTCTTATGTAGTTTATTCTGGCGTTTTTTAAAATGTTGATAAAGTTCAAAACTGCCAAAGAATTAAAGTTAACTGCTGGAAATAATCGCCAGTTATGGATGATTTCATGTAGTGATAAATATTACGATATAATTAACCAAAATCTTGACTTTCTATTGATTAGTATGGATTAATGATATCTAGATATGATTCTACTTCTAATATGATATGAATTGATATAATGATGTAAAGAACACATCTTATGATGATACATAATATTTGTATTAATTCTATTTTTCAAATGATTGCTAAAAACATGATAAGTTCATAAGATACATAGAACTATTGTACACAACAATAATATGATTTCAATAATAACATATGATCATTCTAATAACTCTATTCTATATCTTACATTCTTATACATGATTGTTGTTCTTCCATAGTCAATATTGCTTCAAATATGATATGATCCATAGCATATATAGATATATGATGAAGATGTCCATAATGTGATGAAACATCATATTGCTAGATATATTTGAATATAATTATATAATATATAGTATTAAAATATATATGATAATGATACATCTGAATATGATATTATATATATATATATATAATGGATGATATTTTATTTTATGTATTGATGGATTTTAGTGGCTTTATATATGAGCTAAAGGATAAAAGAATTTATCTCTAATAAATAATGTTAGGCAAATGATCAGTCATGCACATGACCTGATATGACCCATTAGAGTGTATGGGTTATATTAGGTTGGGTTGTGACAGCTCACATAATCATAATTTTCTAATACCTTCTTGCAAGTTTTAGTCTAGTCTTTTCATACTGACCTACTAATATATGTCACCTCTTTGAACTAATTAAATTGAAGTATAATTTCCACATCATTGTATTCTCAATATCATAAGGTCCTAATCCCTATCATCATATTACTTAATTAGTTGTGTTGTCCCTATGATATATCTTTCAATGGTTATAATAATATGCCAAGAGAAGAAGTATATATTTCATAATATCATGATCTATTATGATGGTCCCATTCCAAGCACACTTAAGGAAATAACAAACTCTTCTGCAAACTCCTATAAGAAATGAAAAGGTGTGAAGGGGGAAATGTTAGAAAATTGAATGGTTCGTAAAAAACTCTAGCATTATTATGCACATTGTTATGACTTCCTACATGAATATCAAAAATGTTTGTTTTTTTTTTTCAATTTGAAAATCTATTTTTATAAAATGCATCTTCCTTTTCATTACCTCTACTCGATGTTCTGAAAAGACAACAATATAAATAATATGTTTTACCTTTACATATGCTATACTCTGGCTAATCAGAGTATTTGTCAAACCAAATATGATTAATGCGTCTGTATTTTCATCTCACTTTTATTTTTAGGAAAATCATTACTACGAGGTTAAAATATCCCTTTTTGTAAATATATTCTACGAACTTCATCTTGAATATTAGGATTAAAGTTAGTAATAGGAATTCGTAGTCATGGATCAGATGGAAGATTTTTCACACTTACTTCCGTATTTTTTATTAAATCAACATCCAATAGAATGTGTTTGTCATTTTGCTCTCCAACCTCATTGCTATTCACATCCATATTATTTGATGTTTTTGAATTCGAAGACTGCTTGAAATATCTTGCCATGATATTCAAACTCGTACTCAAATATTCCTTAGGAGTAGATATCTATAGTCTACTGTTATTATGTTAAGATATAAAATTAAGACTTTAAAAAAGATATATACAGTCTACTAGAGAAAATTGTATTTTGTAGACTACAATTCAATAAATGAAACATAAATTAAAGAACTAACATATGTAGGCAAATATTACTAGATTTCTGTAAATTGAAATCATTTAAAAAAAAACTTGCATCTTCGGGCCGAACGGCCGAATACGCCGAAGTAATGTCCTAGCCGTTGGAAAATTAGCGAAAGAGGAGTCGGGTGAGAGGGAAAAATCATGCGTAAGATGTGAGGGAGGAGAAACTACGTTGGCGATACGCGAAGACTCGAAGAGCCGGAAGAGAGTGAGGTGAGAGGAAAAATCACGTGTAAGATGTGAGCCTGAAGTTTAACGCTGAACCGATTATACTTGGGCATAAATTAGTATAAGCTTTTTTTTTTTTTTTTTGCCCCACCCCTTACCCCTTGGATTTAGTTTAATTATCTATTTTATTTTCTGACTATATTTAAAGCTGAGAAATCTTTTCTTATACTTTTCTGTTAATGTATTTTATATAATCTCAATATTTTGATTAAAAAAATCAAAATATTTTTTTGGGAAAAAAAATCATAATATCGAAGTGCAACTTCTTCAGCTCCTTTGCCGACATCTGATTATGGAATTTATTTGGCAGCGGAGAAATAGGTGCCGCTTTGAGGTCAATTTCTCAGACTTTGCATTTTATTATTATTATTATTATTATATAATTATCGAGCATGAATCACATGATATTACCCGATAAATGTCAATCTGGTTAATATCGAAGAAAAGAAATCTTGCGATTTCGCAATCGCCCCCGTCCATTTCATTCCGCGTTCAACCCCTAACTTTGTCCTCCGCTTCATTTAAGCTTCGTTCCTCGATTTGCATCATTGGAGTTTTTTCTCGCTTGATCTCTTCAATTCAATCCACATCTAGGTTGGTTTGATTCTCTCTTTCGACTCGTCGGCCGTCCGGATCCTAATCTTTTCTTTGCGGTAAGTTTCTGCCTCAGTGGTCTCTGCAGTTCCCCATCTATTGTTTCCTTATGGATTCTTTGATGTTTTTCTGCTCTAATCTATCTTTTGCAGCATGTTAGTTAGCCTTCTTGATTGTTTGCTTCTTCTTCTTCTTCTTCTTCTTGTTCTTCTTCTTCTTCTTTTTCACTCCCAATTCTGAATCCTTTCACCTGGTTTTAGTGGATTAGTAGATGAAACATTAGGCTCATTTGTCGTCTTGCCTTGCTCGCTGTCTGCTACCTTTGTTTCTAGCTGTTTTTATCTTCAAAGAGACTTGCATATGGTTCTTTTATTATTTTTTATTGTCGTCTTCATCGAAGTTTATATACCTCTGTCTTCAAATTCTAGATCTAACTGCTGTTGCTGTTCTTGTCTGTGGATCTTAGGTATTCTCCTTTGGCATCAGTAAGGAGTTTTAAGTCTGAGGCATGGCACAGATTTTGCTTCATGGAACGCTTCATGTTACCATCTATGAGGCAGATTCATTATCCACCAGGGCTTCTGCTGGTGCTCCCAGGTTTCTTCGCAAGGTACCCTGAACTTTCAAGATATGAAAGGATTTTCCCCTTTGTTTTATTTATATAAATGTTTGAAACTTGGACCTCCATTTTAGAGATCAAAATTAATACCATTAAACCTTAAACCCTAAACCTTAAGCCAAGTGATTGGTGGCGAGCTTGCACAAGGATGCTAAACAAAACCTGAGAAATTATCCTTAACATAGACTTTTATTTGCTGACGTGTCCAATTAAAGATGTTAGTCAATCAATGCACTTCAATAGCTCAATACTCGCCCTTTATGGCCCATAAGTTATCATTTGTTTGTCATGTTTTTATTGCTCAATACACCCTCTCAATATTTACCCTCTCCTACCCGCATTTATCAACAAACTTGAACGTAATGTATGAAGTTCAACATATAACTAATCAAACTCAATTTTTATTGTTTATTTATGCTCATTTATAACCTTTCTTATTGTTCAACAAGTACAGCAATTAGTGTTTGATATGCTTTTACAGTTAAGTACAGATTCTTAATATTCAACCTTTCACGCCTATACGTATTAACAAACTTGAACTTAATATATGAATATTTTTTTTTAATATATGAATATCTTCATATAACTAATCAAACTCAAGTTTCTTTGTTTATTTATGATTTTGTATAACTTTGTATGTTGTTCAATTATCACGGAAATAAGAGCTTGATATAATGCTCTCTTTTGTAGTTTGTTTAGTAACTTATGTTTTATTATGTATTGTCTCCTAGTTTTAAGAATTAAGGTGATGTACAGGAGTGTGCGAATTATAGAGGAACAGTTAATGTGTCATACGTTAAAAATATCGGAGAGAGTTATTCAGCATAGGTTACAATTTGATACTAATGTTTCTTAAAATTAATTTGGATTCATACCAGGTAGGTCTACCATGGAAGCCATAAATTTATTGACATGTTTGATGGAGAAGTATAGAGATAATGAGGAGGATCTACTTATGATTTTTATTGATTTGGATAAAGCATATGATAAAGTTCTAAGAGAAGTGCTATGGGGAGTTCTAGAAAAGAAAGGAGTTAATGTTGCTTATATTCATGTCATTAAGGATATGTATGTAGGTGTTGGTACTTGTGTTCAAACAAAAGGTGGTTTGATCAAGTATTTTCCTATTTTAGTTGGATTACATCAAAGATCATCTTTAAGCCCATATCTTTTTTGCTTTAGTCATCTTTATTGTTACTAGATATTTGCAAGAGGATGTAACCTCATGTATATAATTTTTTTCTAATGATATTGTTCTTATTGATAAGACTAGAGAGGGGGTTGAAGGAAAACTTGAATTATGTAGGTCAACCTTAAAGTCAAAAGTTTTCGTTTGAGTAGATCTAAAACCGATTATTTAGAGTGAAATTTTAGTAGTAATGGATTTAGTGGCTTGATGTTGTTGTTGTTATCTCCTTCCTAAAATCATTAATTATCTTAAACTTTGACTGTAAGCAGTAGCTTTATTTTATGGAATTAAACTTCTGAATAAATTAAGAACCTATTAAATCAAATAAAAATTATCAGTAAAATTTTTTGGATGATAAAAAACAGTATCCTATCAACTCATTGCACCTTCCACTAGTTTTTCTCAGTTAGGATTCAAACTCAAACCATGTAATATTGTTGCATTTAAGCGCATCATGATTGAATTGTATCTATCATTTTCTATCTGTTTAGTTTATATTTGTAATCTAAAATAGACCAGGAATTTCAGTAAAATATGTCTTCTTAAAATTAAGTGTGCTTATTAAATGTCTAATTATCCTAGAGGCTATTTTCCCATCTTTAAATCATATCAAACAATTGTATAACTTGTGAATGTTAGTTCCTTTTGATATTTATTTCACCATTTATTTCCAAGCTTTTATTTGGTCTTCTTAAATCTATATAACTGCTAATGTGTGACGGAATGACAGTTTCCCAACCTTCTTTTGAAATGTCGAATTTAGATGGCAAGGGTGCTTTAAGTTTACGTTGCATCTATTATCTGCCTAGGAACTTTTATGGGAGTGTTGCAAGTTGCATGATATTTTTTGTTTGGTTAGAAAAAACACCAATAAAACATATCATTGTTGTCCTGTATATGATATTTATTACCATTAAAGATAGTCTCATGTGAAATTTAGGAGACTGCCTGACTACTTTTCCTAGCGTTATGCCCTTTACTTTCTTTATTTCCTGTCGTGTGTCACGGTAATTTTTTTGTCTTTCTTGTGATTCAAATGGAAAGTGATGCTTTGTTTTCTGTGACTGCTTTAGCACGTGCAGGATTAATGCAGAAGTTCTATGCTGTATGTTAAGTTTTTTTCATTTATGTTTGTTGTTTCTGTAAATAATTGGTGCAATCCTGTCAGTTGTGAAACTTACAATTAGAAAATATTGATTTTTGATATTAAAAATACTCAGAAGCAGAAATGGCTACACGCTTTTTACTGTTTAGATGAGATTTTCTGCAGTTTACTCTTGTTTATTTCTTTTTTTGTTGCTTGATAGCATTATTTGACAGGTTCTTTGCATATTTTGCTCAATCAGAGCTATGAATGCCTTATGTATGGTATTCTTGCTGTTAGTGATTTTTTCATTCTAGGTCAAAATGGACGTTTTCACTAGTTTTGCTATTCTGCAGTAATTTTTAGTTTAATAAGATTGTACATCCATGCCTGCTAGGCTTCATTGTTATTATGAACCTTTTACAAGTCTTGCTATAGAAATTATAGCCTGCTTTAAATGTATTAAGCTCTTTCACTCCTATTATTAATCTGTTTCTAAAGTTACTAGCTTTTGACAAACGGTAAATATGTAATTTTCTTGAAGAACTTTCTTCGGATAGATGATACTGATTAAAGTTTCTGGAATGTGATTTATTTGTTTTTATTTTTTATTTTAAGTTTCTATTATTTCCTCTTCTTTGCAACTGATCATTCCGTTCAGCTTGTTGAAGGAATAGAGGATACTGTGGGCCTTGGCAAGGGATCTACCAGACTTTATGCTACTATTGATCTAGAGAAGGCCAGAGTTGGTAGGACCCGAATCATTTCTGATGAACCTGTGAACCCTCGTTGGTATGAGTCTTTCCACATTTATTGTTCTCATTTGGCTGCCGATATCATCTTCACCGTCAAGTTTGACAATGCCATCGGTGCTTCACTTATTGGAAGAGCATATTTACCCGTTGTGGACATACTTCATGGTGAGGAAGTTGACAGATGGCTTGAAATATGTGATGAAAGTCGTAATCCTGTTTCTGGTGGGGCTAAGATCCATGTAAAGCTTCAGTATTTTGATGTCTCAAAAGACCGGAACTGGGCAAAGGGCATACGGAGCCAAAAGTTCCCTGGTGTTCCCTATACGTTCTTCGCGCAGAGGCATGGATGCAAGGTATCACTTTACCAAGATGCTCATGTCCCTGATAACTTTGTTCCGAAAATTCCTCTTGCAAATGGAAAGTACTATGAGCCCCATCGTTGTTGGGAGGACGTCTTTGATGCAATCAGTAATGCCAAGCATTTGATTTATATTACTGGGTGGTCTGTTTATACGGAGATCACTCTGATTAGGGACTCTAAGAGGCAGAAGCCTGGTGGAGATGCTACCCTTGGGGAGTTGCTAAAGAGGAAGGCTAGTGAAGGAGTGAGGGTCCTTATGCTCGTATGGGATGATCGGACTTCAGTTAAATTGCTAAAGAAAGATGGTCTGATGGCTACACATGATGAAGAAACTGGGAATTATTTCCATGGCACTGATGTACACTGTGTGTTGTGCCCTCGAAATCCTGATGATGGAGGAAGCATTGTGCAGGATTTGGAAATCTCTGCCATGTTCACTCATCATCAGAAGATTGTGGTTGTGGATCATGAGATGCCTGTTAAGGGTTCCGAACAAAGGAGGATTGTAAGTTTTGTTGGTGGAATTGACCTTTGTGATGGAAGATATGACACACAGTTCCATTCACTCTTTAGAACCCTTGACACAGCTCACCATGATGATTTCCATCAGCCAAACTTTGCAGACGGATCCATTAAGAAAGGTGGACCTAGAGAACCTTGGCATGATATTCACTCGCGCTTGGAGGGTCCCATTGCCTGGGATGTATTGTTCAACTTTGAGCAGAGATGGAGGAAGCAGGGTGGGAAGGATCTTCTTCTACAGATTAGAGATCTCTCTGATGTGATTATTCCGCCATCACCAGTCATGTTTTTAGAGGATAAAGAAATATGGAATGTGCAGCTCTTCAGATCTATTGATGGTGGTGCTGCCTTTGGCTTTCCTGAGACGCCAGAGGATGCAGCCAGAGCAGGCCTTGTCAGTGGAAAGGATAATATTATTGATAGAAGCATTCAAGATGCCTACATAAATGCAATCCGCAGAGCAAAAAAATTTATCTATATTGAAAATCAATATTTTCTCGGCAGCAGTTTTGGATGGAAAGCAGATGGTATCAAACCTGAGGAAGTTGGCGCATTACATCTTATACCAAAGGAGCTTTCACTAAAGATTGTTAGTAAGATTGAAGCTGGGGAAAGGTTTACTGTTTATGTTGTTGTTCCAATGTGGCCAGAGGGTGTCCCTGAAAGTGCTTCTGTTCAGGCAATTCTGGATTGGCAAAGGAGGACTATGGAAATGATGTATACTGATGTTACTCTGGCCCTTCAGGCTAAAGGAATTGAAGCAAACCCCAAAGACTATCTGACTTTCTTTTGCTTAGGAAATAGAGAGGTGCAGAAGAGCGGAGAATACACTCCTGAGGAGCAGCCTCAGCCTGATACAGACTATTTTAGAGCTCAGCAGGCTAGGCGGTTTATGATCTACGTTCATGCCAAGATGATGATCGGTAATTACCTGTTCCTTTTTTATTATTATTGAAAGAAGATAGCATTTTGGTAAGAATTTGATATTCTTGTTCTGTGATCTTCTTCTCATTGCAGTTGATGACGAGTATATAATTGTTGGATCTGCCAACATCAATCAAAGATCAATGGATGGAGCGAGGGACTCTGAAATTGCCATGGGTGCATATCAGCCTAACTATCTGTTGACGCAGGAACCAGCCAGGGGCCAAATCCATGGCTTCCGCTTGTCTCTGTGGTACGAGCACCTTGGCATGCTCGACGATCTCTTCCTCCATCCTGAGAGTTTGGAGTGCGTGCAGAAGGTGAATAGGATTGCAGAAAAATACTGGGATCTTTACTCTAGCGAAACACTGGAAAGAGACCTTCCTGGTCATCTCCTCAGCTACCCCGTTGGAGTCACTAATGAAGGTGAGATCACAGAGTTGCCTGGGACGGAATTCTTTCCGGACACGAAAGCCCGTATCCTGGGCAGCAAGGCGGACTACATGCCACCAATCCTCACCACTTAACCACTACGATCCCTCCCTGTTTCTGTGGCACTTTACCTCCTCCTGTACTGGTAGCTATAATAAGTAGTGTGATCTATATGAGATGTTAATCTTTCCTCATGGTTTGATGGAGTGCTTTTGATCATGCTTAAGAATTATATGCCTTCCTAATAATGACTTTCTGGCTTGATTTACTTTGTCCACTTGAATTCATGTGCTTATGATATTTAGTTATTGAGTTGGAATTATACTCATATTCTATATAATGGAGATTTAATCTAAAAAAAATTATATTGGGATGTCCTGATTCCAAAAATCATCAGGATGAGGTTTAAAATATTCAAATCTATTTTAAAATTTATGTGATATTTAAAATATATTCAATATTTTAAAGTCTTTTCGAATCAAAATTTTTCCAGGATCTCTTATATTTTTTTACCCAATTCAATGTCATATTAACCAACCTTTTGCTTATATCAACCATATTATTATATTATTTTCTTGCTATATTTGACTTTATTGTGAAATTTTGCAATATGTAGCTCGGCGTTTGGACGGACAACTGTGGCTATTTGATTGATCTTGACCTGATTGAAGATTGCCTGAAGAAAATAAACATTACTTTTCGTAAGACCGTGCCAGTTACGCTAACATTATTTGTCGGCAGTCATGGAACTATACTCATATTCTATATAATGGAGATTTAGGCTTTATTTGGGACGGCTTTATTTCTGCTTATTGAAGCAGTTTTTTAATACGAAAGTTTAATTTGTGTACTGAAAAGCTGCTTTAAGAAGTAGAAAGAAAGCTGTCTCAAACAAAACCTTAATCTAAAAAATAAAATTATATTTGGATATCCTGATTCCAAAAATAATCAGGATGAGATTTAAGATCTTCAAATCTATTTTAAAATTTATGTGATATTTAAAATATATTCAAAATTTTGAAGTCTTTTCGAATCAAAATTTTATCCAGGATCTCTTACATTTTTTACCCAATTCAATTTCGTAATAACCAACTTTTTGCTTATATCAACCGTATTATTATATTATTTTCTTGCTATATTTGACTTTATTGTGAAATTTTGCAATATGTAGCTCGGCGTTTGGACGGACAACTGTGGCTATTTGATTGATCTTGACCTGATTGAAGATTGCCTGAAGAAAATAAACATTACTTTTCGTAAGACCGTGCCAGTTACGCTAACATTATTTGTCGGCAGTCATCCGTTATTCGTATGATGGACGGATTTTGATATAATTAAGAGCTAGTATTTGAAAATTTAACTTGACGGTCATAATATTAGGTTTTATTTGAAATAGATTTTTTAAGAGCAATTCTAGACAAAACGATTGAGTTTTGGTACCTAATGATTCTTTCAGTTGAATATACATCATGTATGGCTTATCTAATTAGGCTATATTCTTTTTTTTTTTTAATTAGGCTATATTCTTCTTCTTTTTTTTAATTAGGCTATATTCTAGTTGTATACTCACATATCTTCTCAAGTGCCTAGTAGATAGGGCAGATCATAACAAATGAACTCTCTCACAAAAGGGGCCTACATAAGAACTCACCTAAAGATTTGAGAGGCACAAACTCGCTTAGAAATTGTAGAAGAATTAGAGCTTGACCTTTCACAAGGACGAACCAAAGATTACATTCAAAATAAGACTACATGTCTAGACATTTTCTATTCTCATTGAGTTAGCTCGAAACTCGCTGCATGCCTGGACCACCATCATAGTCAATTGTCCTATCCACGAGCGATCCTCTTGATGAAAGTTTTCCAAGCTCAGCAGCAGGAAACTGCTTATCTACGAGACCTCACCTCATTTTCTACAACCATTCAAAGTTTTTCCCTTTCTGCGAAGGCATCTCATTCTTCTATCTCGCTCTACTTAAGCGACATGAGATCTCTCATGTTGGTCGTCGGCAAAATTAGCAATTCTGTTAGTCTCTAGTGCTCTCTTCTTGGAGTTCGCCCACAAAATTGCCCTAACCTACTCGGCACTATAGAGCTCACCTAGAGACCACTGGTCAGGTCCTTTCGACCTCACCCTCTTTCAGTCAACCCAAGGATGACATGTGTTTGAGATAGTCCGTGTAGTATTATATGAGTGTTCTATGTAGTGCTGTACTTTTTCTCTTTTTTATGGAGCTTTTCTTATAGCATTAAAATCCTATTAATAAAGGGTGCTTAGAAGAAGTTTGGTATTTTTTATTAGGCATTTGACTAATTTTAGTGGACTCCATACTAGTTTGTGTTTGGTTAAAAATAAATTGTATTTAATTTGTGAATTTTTTTGAGTGAAAAGAACTTAAGTTTTTTTTTCTGTGCAAAAAATACTCATGGAGGAGGCCAAAATGAAAGAAAAATTCACTACAATGAAGTGGCGTCACATAGCTGAGCAGCACAACACTCTAGGCAAAAAAATTAGTGTCAAAATAAAGAGCTCATCACCAGAGTGTTGCCACACCAACACTAGGGTACCATAATGGAGCAAATTTTAGTACTGAAGATAGTGAAGCTAGTGCCATAAAGTGCAACATCCAAAACTGCAGAGCTAAAATTTAGCACCATAGTGCTAGACTTCCTAATGCCATAGTGCATTAAGGGATAAAAATTATTTTTCAAGATAAAGAGCATGGTGTTGCAATGCCCAATTGTCAAGCACCACAATGCTAAGGAGTAGTGCTTAATCGCTTCAGCATTATGACGATTTGGTAGTTATCAGTTACAATCCAAAGAGAAGTGATGATTCATTAAGAGTGTTGTAGCACTACTAAACCAGCACCAAAATTTACCAAACTAGCAGCACAATATTGCGCGCTCAGTTGATCAGAACTTCGTTTGTTTTGAAAAAAGGTATAAATAGGACATTTCATTTGAGAGTGGAGAGAATTTTAGGGGGGTTTCTAGTGGGAGAATTTTGGAGAGAGTTTAGGAGGGATTCTTCCTTAAGTTCTTTTGTATTTTTATTTATTGTGTGAGTCTGTTTGTAATTGTATAGTGGATTGGAAGACGGAATAGGAGCTAACTCTTGGAGAAGATCAAGTCTTGGGTTTAGAGATTAAAGTGGTTTGATCTTTCCGTTTTATGTATTTTAAACTGATTTTTAATGAGATTGGTGAATTTTATTTTGTTAAATATGCAACATAGTGGCTAGTTTCTTTTTTCAAAATATATGATGTGATGCTAGTGTTGAGAGTATGTTTTACTTGAAACGTTAGTACACACAAACAATACAAGCCTAATTTTTCCAATATGTGTTAGAAGAAACAATAATTAACACAATAATATTTTGGTATCATCAAAAACCCACATAATATAAAAGCATAAGTTTAAAAACTAAGTTACAACAAGATAACGCTTTAAAAGTTTTACTATTTTTATCTTTGCTCCATTATTGATGATGCTTCTACTTTATTTTCAGAAAGTTTTTGAACTGCAGAGTCATCAATACAATATTATCATCCTCCTCCACTACAGAGATGTCATTGTCTAAATCATTAGCTTTCAACTCCATAGTCTTCTCCTTTTTCTATCACCTGCGTCAAGTAAATTCTAATTCACTTCTTGCTTGTAGGCAATGAGTGAGCCAATCAAGATATAAATAGAATACATTCAAGTCTTTTGATTTAGAAATTGTAATGACCTTAACATCAAAATAATTAGGTAGGAAACATAGAATTTTGTTAACCTTTTAAGAATTAGAAAGTTCTCTTCCTAATGCATGCAGGGGTGTCACTATCTGAGTGAATCTAGTATATATTTCATATATTATCTCATTAGGATTCATGCTAAATTGTTCACAGTCGTGTAGTAAAATATACAACCTAGACTATTTGACTTCAGTAGTTCTCACAAATGTGATGCACAGTTTATCCCAAATTTTCTTCCATATAGTACATGTATACACTCTCATGCAATTCTAAAATTTTAATGCACAGAAAAGGTAATTCAAATATTTTGCATTTAATTGAGTGAGCTCTCTATCCTTATTATTCCATTAAGTAAATGAAATATTAATTTTGGATCCACTAGCTATATGTGATGGAAGTAAATAACCAATTTGAATCATATGCAAAATTCTAAAATAAATAGATTACAAAAATGTAGACATGCAGATTTTCCAAAAATTAATTAAAATATTTTAAACATAGGTGTACGAGTTATAGAATAACCCTTTTTTGTATTTCTATTACCAAAATGTGTCAAAAGATCTTAGGGAGTTTAAAATCACAAATTCCAAGACCCGCTCTAATACCACTTGAAAGTTTAGGAAGGTTATAAAAATTGTTGAACTATCCTTAAGCGCGCCAAGAGAAGAGGTGAATTGATAATTTAAAAAATATACTAAAACAAAATCTTCTTTATATTTTAACCAATATCACAATTTATGAAAATATTCTAGTTAACTAACACAAGTGAAAATAATTTAAAATTTTGATTTTCTTTTTCAAAATTTTGTAACACAGAAAATTCAAGAGGAATATATATTTTTTGCAAACACAAATCAAAATTAAATACATTTTGCAATGAAAATTAAACTCGTGCAGAAAATTTAAAGAGCATAAAAGAAAAAAAATCAAAAAGAGCACACCAAAAATTAAACTCATGCAAGAAAATTTAAGCATATTTCCAAGATAAACCTTACCCCACCGGTTCCTTACCCTTACCTAAAATGTAAAAACTACATAATAGCCACAAATGCCTAACAAAAATACAAGAAAGTTAGCATTTTAAGGTGGATTTTTTTCCCAAAAATTACTATGGATTTGTGAAGGAAATATTACTTTTTATGACGAATTTTTCAACAAAATTTTCACTACAAATACATAGTAAATTCCCCACAAATTTGATGCAAACTACGCTATCTAACTGCTAATTAGCATTCATTTTACTTCTTTCTTATGCTCTTGACTGCTTTCCTCTGCCCTTCAGCTCTTGGAATTTACTAACCTCCTTCAAAGACATTCCATGTTTCATCTCCTCCTTGGAGGGCTCCTTCCTATTACATCTAAACTCACACTTCCTTGAAATTTTTATCACAGTTAAAGTCGCACCTCCCTCTCATTCTTCTTTGTAGCCTAACTCACACCTACTTTGAAGATAGGAGCTTGCTTGTTGCAAAGGTATCCATCTTTCTTCCTTTTGTGCACTTCTTTATCCAAATCCCTAAATCTCTATCACATTCAA